GCGAGGTGGGGGGAGGCCCGGCGGGGCGTGGAGCGATCCGGGTAGGCTAAGGGGGGCGAGGTGGGGGGAGGCCCGGCGGGGCGTGGAGGGATCCGGGCAGGCTAAGGGGGGCGAGGTGGGGGGAGGCCCGGCGGGGCGTGGAGGGATCCGGGCAGGCTAAGGGGGGCGAGGTGGGGGGAGGCCCGGCGGGGGGAAGGGATACGGGCAGGGTAAGGGGGGCGGATGAGGAGGTCCGGGCGGGGTAGGGGCGGCCCGGCGGGGGGGGGGGCGATCCAGGCAGGGAAAGGGGGGGCGGGGGAATGAGGAGAGCCGGGCGGGAGGGGGCGGCCCACCTTGGCGGTGACTTTGGGCCCCTTCTTGCGCTCCTCGGCCCGCGAGGCGGCCGGCAGCAGCAGCACCAGCAGCGACCCGCCCAACAGCGCCGCGGCCACCAGCAACTTCATCCTTCTGCGCTCGCAGCCCGGCCACAGCGCCCGCCGCGCCACCAGCATCCGGGACCCGCGAGCGCCGCACCGCCAGCCCCGCCCACCCGCGCGCCCACCCCCAGCCCTGCACCGCCCGGCCCGAGGCGGATACGCCTCCGCTTCCCTGCCCTAACAGTGGTACGGCCCGAATCGCTCCCCCACCTACAGGCGCAGGACGGAAGGAACCAATCGATCCCGAAGGGGAGGCGACACTCCCACCGCCCCCCAGCGAGCCAGGATAGCGCGTTCCATCCCGGACAGAGGGGGGTCAGGAACCGGCCCCAGACCCTGCCACGTTTCCAGTTTCTCATTGGGCCACATCTTAGCCAACGGGAAGCGGGCACGGAAGGACGGGGCGCAGCAGCGCGCGCCGATTGGGCCAAGTGTCATCCACGAGGGATAGCTCCCAGGGTGCACGGCGCGCTCCGCCCGGGAACTACATCTCCCGGGTTAGAGCTGCGGGCAGCCTCCGGCCGCAGCAAAACCCGGCAGGTGACCAATGACAGTGTCCTGCTTGTAACCAGAACGGTCCCTTTTCTAATCCCAGGCCCGGCCGGCCTGACTTCCCTTGGCAGAAGTGGGGTATTTATCCCATTTGTTCTTGCCAGCTGGGTCAGGGACCGGCCAGGGCAAATGCCCGCTTTTGTCAACGGGAGGGAGTGGAGGAACGGGGGAGGGAGGAAGTGACAGTGCCAGACCCTCGCAGGGAAGGAGGCAGGGCTCGGGGAAGGCAGGACCCAGGCAAGCAGCCTGGGGTAGAGAGGACGACTTGGGCTAGCCTCACATGGTGTCCTGTTTAACCTTTGGGAAATATGGTCACCCTACAAACCAGATCCTGACCTACGGTGAGCAGGGGGCTCTCAGCCATCTGCCGGGACTCATCGGCTCTCTGCAAGGAGACAGATGAGTGATGCAGCTTGGTACTAGCCCCTTGGGGGCTCTTAGCAGGAATATTCCCTCCCCACCCCCCACTAAAACAGCCAAGTTCTTACAATACAAAGCAAATATGGGCCCTTCTGAGGTGCTCAGGGCCCTAAACATAAGAATGGCTCTACTGGGTAAGACCAAAGGTTCATCTAGCCCAGTATCCTGTCTTCCGACAGTGGCCAATGCCAGGGCCCTCAGAGCGAATGAACAGAACAAGTAATCATCAAATGATCTGTCCCACATTGGCAATTCCCAGCTTCTGGCAAACAGGCTAGGGCCACCAAACCTGCCCATCCTGGCCTATTCTCCATGGAATTACCTAGTTCTTTTTTGAACCCTGTTAATTAGTTTGTTTGCTTATGCCTAGCATTGGCTCTGGCCTTGAGTGTCCAGGGCTGAGTTACTCCAGCACACAAGGGGAAGCAGGGGACAGTAACCCATTGCGGGAACTACAGCTTAGCGGCATGTATTCACTCACTTGTGGTAGGGATGCATTCAGGACCCAGCTACAGCTAGTTAGAGCAGAGACACTGAGGAGCCCGGTGGCACCTTAAAGACTAACCGATTTATTTGGGCATAAGCTTTCATGGGTAAAAAACCCCACTTCTTCAAACGCATGAAGTGAAAATTACAGATGCAGGCATAAATATACTGACACATGAAGAGAAGGGAGTTACCTTACAAGTGGAGAACCAGTGTTGACAAGGCCAATTCAAGCAGGGTGGATGTGATCCACTCCCAATAACTGATGAGGTGTCAATACTAAGAGGGAAAATTGCTTGTGTAGTGAGCTAACCACTTCCCAGTCCCCATTCAAGCCCAAATTAATGGTGTTAAATTTGCAAATGAATTGTAGCTCTGCAATTTCTCTCCGAAGTCTGTTTTTGAAGTTTTTTTTGAAGGATGGCTACTTTTAAATCTGTTATTGGATGTCCAGGGAGATTGACTCCTCATTGTTTTTGTGGATACAGACTAACACAGCTACCCCTCTGATACTTAGAGCAGAGAATAAGTCCTGGAGCCCAGCACTCTAAACCCAGCTTTTCCCCTACCTGGGTGCACTACCACGCTCCAGGGGGAACACTGCCAGAGCTGCATAGGTGGGTGGAATCCCAGCTCAGCAGATACTTCCCCATATTCATAAAGGCCTCATCTAAAGTAGGATTTAAGGTGTGATGTGTTAGCAGAAAAGACCTAAGCATTTTTGGAATCAAGTATCACATACTGTTTAGGCAATGGCTCCAGGCTCTCTATCACCTATAGAGAAACACCAGTACTGCAGGCAGTAAGCATGCCTGGGCCTTCAGCTTTTCCTGTTTGGGGGCCTTCAGCTGTAAGTACAACTGGAATGCAGGATGACATCACCGGAAGTAGCCTTACATGTATCTAGAGGAGAAACCCCAAAGCAACATGTTTAGTTTCCCCTGACAACATAGAATCCAAAAATGTTAATATAAAAGCAGGAAAGCACTTGTATACAGAGGTCCCTATGGCCCAGTTAGAAGGGGCTCAGAGTAACTTGTGCCTTTGCAATGGAATGACCTCTAAACTACAGCAGGATGCCCAAGATCTGCCCCCGTCTTGAGGCACCAACAACAGTTGAACCACTAGGGCAGCTGAGCAGCATGCTCAGATCCTGTCATCAGTCCACCTATCCCAAGTGTCCTGTGAGAGTGTGATGGTCTTTAGGGGCCCTACGTAACTCTCATGAAGGAGGCAAAAGTGATCAGGGAAAAGGAGAGTTTGCTATTCAGATAGCTTTGAACACTAGGATGGGCTGCTAATGGTAATAGGGTGGTCTGCCTAGCTACTAGATTTTTTTTGCCTGGACTAAAGAGTTTTCATGCTATTTTGCAAAGCTGTGTATTACATTTACATTTTTCAGATGAACACCTCCTCTGGAGAGGAGTGAAACTGGTAGGTATTTGGTCTAACGATATTTGTCCGTTCGGGGTAAGCATACTCCCTTGTTGCTACTGCTCAACAGTGCATACAAGCTATGCACTACAGGAGCAGCTGCCTCCATTTGCCTGACATTTCAAATGGGCAGGTTGGCTCCTGAATGCATAAATCAAACTTTATAAAAGACTAAAGAGTGGGAACAGAGAGTAAAGGTAAGACATTTTATTTTACATACAAAAAGGGTGCAAACGAGAGCCCCTGCCCCCCAAAAGGGGAAGGGGAGTAATTAAAGATCACATTTGTTGTGTTTCTCATGATGCCCCAGTAATGGGCAAATCAGAAAGAGAAACCAACAGTAAGCAGGACCCATTTTCTTGATGGAAAGGAGCTCCCCCTGGAGGGGTCTTCCCCATGATATAAGCCCTTATCCTGGTTGAACCATTTCAAACACATTTTAAATTGACATTCATGTTAAAAAATACTACAAGTTCCATGTTCACAGCTGAGCTTTGAGACCAGTGCCTGAAATATGAATAAAACATTGCATTACATATTTAAAACAAAAGATAAAAAAACTCAAGGCATTTTAAACAAGAATCAGACATCCACACAATATTTAAAAAATGATTTCCACAGCTGATTTTCATGTATTTTACAGTAAAAAAAAAGTTGCAATTAACATCTCCTCAAAAGTACAAAGGGCTAAATTAAAGAAATAGACAAAATAAATTATAGCTTGTAAAGTTTCCAGTGGGAATTAATCACTTGACAGTATTTTTTATTTGGGGATTTGTGGTTTATAATGTATTTGGTATAATCTACATGTTCCCAGAGGATATTCTTCTCTCTGTCTGATAATTACAAATAAGACTATCAGTACCAGCTTGCTGTTCTAATTGGGAAGAGAGAACTTGTCACTCGTTTTCTTCCAAGAACACTTAGAAAAATCAAGGTTCTCAGAGTTGCTTGCACTGTGCAGCTAGAGCTATACAGATGGGGAACGAGCATCTACTGTGAAGATCATTTTCCTGAGACGCTCCCAAAAGGATTAGACATGTCTTTTAAAGCCTTTTCCTGCCTGTATTCCTCCTGGCTTGGCTTGCACCCTGGATTTGGGCAGGGCAAAGACAACACAGAGAACTGTCCCCATTCTGGTGGTTTCTCCCTACTCTGGGGCATCAGAACCTGGCCCTTGCTTCAATTGGTATTAATTCAGTGAGGCCCCAAGGCTCTGATCTCTTGCCCTGGAAATACTTGTGATGTACTAAAGAGCATGTTGGAACTGCCCCAGGAAGGTGGGGAGAGGAATGAGAAAAGAAAAAAATCTTGGTCAGAGAGTCTGAAGTTTCTTTAAAATATGAAGTTTGGTCAATCAAACTAGAAACCCACAGAGAAGTGTTCACTATTATTTCAGATTCTGAAGCCCAGCTTTACACACATCTTTACACAAATACTGGAGTGGGGTTCCTTTTGGATGTGGGGAATACATTTTTCATGTTCTCTATTCAAATAGATCTGAATCAGTATCTATCACCTATTATTGTACAACTATTAAGCCTGAGAAACCAATTCTGCTGCAGTCAGTTACCTGGAAATGTAACTGAAAACACCCAACACTTTAAAACCACATAGTCACTCAAGTACAGTAAGAGTCCTAGGGCACGGTACCGCCAAACACTGTGCAAATTGCAAGCACCCTGCAGAGGGGAATGCTCACCTAGAAGTTGGTAACAAACTTCACTTACAAACCAACCTTTCTTGACAAAGAGATGGAGCTGGCAGCTGTCACCCGCATTCAAGGCCTGCAAGCAGGTCAGAAAGACTTTCCTTGAAACCTCAGTGGTATTGTAGAAAAGCAAAGTTTCCCCATTTATAGTGCCTTAGCGCACTCTCACACTCACACATGCTGGTTTGCAGGGGAGCACAGGATGGCAGCTATGGCTGTATGGACACTGTTCTTGGACATTCAGCTCCCCCTGGGTGTTTAAACAGCACTCCCTCCAAAACACAATCTGAAATAACAAGCACTACCAAGGGAGGGCTCAGCTCAGTCTCCAGCTTGCTCTCTATTTACAGATGCCATGCAACAAGCTCAGGGACCCAGGCATGTTACTCATGTCAGAATCCTGAGTCAAAATGGAATACTTTGAAGTTACTGCTTGCTAATTGGTTACTGGAAACAATCAAACCACAAAAGAGGAGATGGCCTCATATAGATGTTTTAAAGGGCCAGGA